TACCCCTTCCTTTGCTTTGTCTCCCAGAGCATCTCAAAGCCCCTGGATCAGCCACTTGGGAGCTATCCTATGTAGTGCCTTCATCATGTCTATCTTGCATTGGTTAGCTAGATTCTCAATAAAATTGTCTGCTAAATTGCCTGTTCACTTCCTAAGCACCCTCTGAAAGCTAAGTGGACCATCTTAATGGTTGGTGGGACTGACAAACCCCATGGTTACAAAAAAGTGATCTGATCATGATAGTGGGTTTACTGTAATATCCTCTGCCTTCAAAACATACTCCATTTGCTCTGAGTTCAAGACTAGATCCAGAGTATGTGAATCAGACCTGTTATAATCTGAATCATTTTTAGACCCATGATTGTCATGGTGGCCATGAAATCCTGAACTGCTTCTGACCCATCCCCAGATTATGCTAAGAAAGAATCCATCTGGAAGAAGGAAGAACTAGAGATAAAACATTTGTAAGTCTCAGATTTAATTTCAGACACAGCTGGAGATGACCTTTGTGTATATTCCTGCTGAACTGCAATTAAAATAGACCATGCTGGGCTAAATAATTCTATCACATAAGATTAAGTTATGATAATTTTAAATTTCACTGTGCAGAAGTTAATGCACAAGATAATGCCGCTGCTGCAGCTTTGGCTTGTTCTGAGATTTGCTTCTGCTCTTTTAAAGCATTTCCCTAAAACACTGTTTGTGCTCTCTTTGTCTCAGATTCTTCAATTCCATATGTAAGGTCGATCATTAATTACCATTGTCATTAGGAAGAAGCTGTTTTACACTTTACCTTAAACTTGATTCCTTTTTTTACCATTTTGAGCTGTCTACTTGATCACGCTAATCTCTATCATGGGATACGCTTCATTCACAAAGCCACTGCATGCTGCTTACAGTGTCTACTAACTTACAAGACTGAATTGCTGCCATCTTTACTATTTTTTCCTTAGACTCTTGATCCAAGCTGGGTTTAATGTAAATATTCAGGACAATGATGGATGGACACCTCTCCATGCTGCTGCACACTGGGGGGTGAAAGAAGCTTGCACTATCTTGGCTGAAGCACTCTGTGATATGGACATCAGGAACAAGCTGGTTAGTGAGCCTTAGACTAGCAGTATATTGTAAACACTCCCAGAGAAGAAGGAAAGGTTTTTGTTTTTGTTTTTAGAAATATTGACTATGTGTCTTGGTGAGCTAAACAAGCTTTTAAAATTGACTTATGTCATTCTTGTCTTGGTTTAGCATTACTCGGTAGTTAAATGGATTGCATTATGTGTATTTTATGCTCTGTAGCAGCTTCAAATGCATTCTGTATGCTGTTTAAAGTAGCATTTTTCTTCTGTTATGCTTATTTTTAAATTGTAATGTGATAGTTCACTTAACATCGTCAGGGGTAACAGCATAAACAAAAACATTCATTTTTTCTGTCCTTTATAAAATGAGTGTTATAAAGTTTCTTTTTGATATCCTTCCCATGTTTTGGCAACACATGGGATTGAGCAGTGAGATACTTCAAAAAGGCAAATTTCAGATACTGAAACAACAAAGTTCAAATACAGAGAAAGGACCCAAGTCTATGGAGGAGTGAAGGGTAAGCTGTTACTAAGGTTCCTGGGTAAAAACAACTATATTTATAACAAAATATAATTTATAATATATAGGAAAGTCAGGCATATATGGAGAGATACAGGAATTGTGAAAAAGAGGCAAGGGAAACTTAACTAAAAAGCATGGTAACAGTGGTGATTGTGTTTGAGTCAAATCTTTATGATAATTTTAGCACAACATCTAGATTCCCTGCTATTAGTCCTAAGATCAGTGGTTCATATGGATGCTGCATTTCCCTGCAAGACACCAGCTTCAGCAGGTAGTTCAGGAACTTATAAAGCATCTGTGTCTGGTATGGAATCTAGACAGAGATTCAACAGGTGCTTCACCGCTACTTGAAACTCTTTCTAGGAATGCAAGATGCTGTATCTACATGAATAAGATAGCAAAAACTTTCAACTGAAGGAGAAGGAATTTGGCTATGAAACTTGATCCTAGGCAAGAGAATGTGGCAGGACAACCCTAGCTTAAAGAATAAAAGAAATGTGTTTAGTCAAACAACCCCTCCCCAAATGATCCTGAATTACACAACAAATTACAAGTTTTTTTTTTTTAATTGAGCCCAAAATCACAAGACAAAACTGTACATGGATTCAAAGAATAAATAGTTTGGAGGGTGAAAGGAGACCTCATGGAGATCCCTTCATAACTACATAAGTGAATTGAAGTTAGTGTGCATTTAGAAAACATAATGAAGAGTACCCAAACAGATTTTTAACCAGCTAATTTATCTGAGAATGGGAATGCCTCTGGACTGGGCCATCAATTCTCTGAAAAGTTCTGATTTGGTTAATTGATTGATACTCTTGTGGGTAGCCTGGTTGAGGAGGATAACTTGGAAGTCAGTCAGCATTTTTCCTCTATTTTTGGGGAGCTTTATTTCCTATCTCCTAGCACACAAATACACACAATATGTTATCATCTGCCTCTATGTACACGGTATGCTTCAACCCTCTACAAAGTAGACACAGCTACATTTTATCTGTTTTGATTGTGACTGTGGTTGTAGCTAATGAGAATTTCAGAGTTGGTTTGTAAACTTCTATGAAGAAGAAAATCAGTTAGTGATATACTAATTAAGATTAAGATTAGCACAGGCATAACCTTTAATCATGGACAAATATGGAGAAATTGTCACAGAAAGAGGAAAGATTGGAAATTGGATTAGGAATGTTGCATCTGCTCTAATTCACCTGATACAATATATATTTTTGATACTGTACCATTTTTTTTTAATTGGAAGTAGCACTGTCTGAGATTTTGAGATCCCTATATGTCTAATAACCATATATTTCCAGCTCTATACTTTTATCTGGCTTACATTTATATGATAAAAATATGTTGTAAAATGTATGTTAATTTGGCAACTAGTGTAAGATAAAAAACATGGAAAATAAGAAAAAGGGTTACCTTTAGGTTTTTGCCATATACCGCAAAAGTAAGTGTTGCACATTTTTAAAATTGTTTTTCACAAAGACATAAAGAATCTTTTTCTCATGTTAAAGAAATGCCAAATCCAGAATAAATCTTTACTATTGTGGCACATGCCCTTAGGGTCAAACGCCATTTGATGTTGCTGATGAGGGATTGGTTGAACACTTAGAGATGCTGCAGAAGAAACAGAATATGGTGAGTTCTGGCTACCCCTCTTAATTAACTAGTTTTTGTGCATATCCTTGTTACAATTTCTTAGGAGTGGAATGCAATTAAGTGTGTGTTTTATGACAGTTGCATATGAAGCGTAAGTGTTGACTGAAGTGGTTTATAAACATCAACATTAAAAATATAGGTAAAATTACTTTTTTGATTGATGATTGATTATGTGCCATCAAATTGTTTTCTTAGTGACCACATAGATAGATTTTCTCCATGACAATCTGTCCCTAACCTGGTCCTTCAGGTCTTCCAACAGTGCACTCATCGCCACTGTAACTGAGTCCCTCTACCTTGCTGCTGGTCATCCTCTTCTTCTCTTTCTTTCCATCTTTCCTAGCATTGCAGCCTTCTGTAGGGAGCTAGGTCTTTGCATAATATGTCAGAAGTAGGATAATTTGAGCTCAGTCAGTTGTGTCTCAAGTGATCATTCTGGGTTGATTTGTTTGATGATCCATTTGTTTGTTTTCTTGGCTGTGCACTGTATTCAGGAGTCTTCTCCAACACCCAACTTTAGAAGCACCAGTACTCTTCCTATCTTGCTTCTTCAAAGAGTGTCATAGGGAATACCATGGCTTGCACAATTCTGATCCTTGTAGGTATAGATACATCACAGCATTTGAATATCTTTTCCAAGGCCTTCATGGCTGCTCTAAAAGAAGATGACTGAAATTAAGATGGCCTGCCTCCCAAGGAAGTGTACCTAGAGGAAATATATAAACATAGATGGGCAGTGCTCAGTTTCCCTACTTTGCCAACTCTAGTTGATACCAATTCTAAAGATTTTGCCATTTACATGTCATATATGAATGTGTGTCAAGTGTGTGACACACATAGATACACACAAACGTGCATATGTATACATATACATTTGCCAAAAGCTGTACTTCTGAAAATGGCAAGGTCAGGACAAATATGCATTACAGAATTAATATCTATTGATTAAAAACAGATGTCTGTTATATAAGATTATAACATTTATTTTCTTATCTGCTCACCCAGAGCCACTCAGTTTCACACAGAAACTATTTTCATGGACAGAGATTCACTGTTTGCATTCCTTCTCCCAGCAGAGAAGGAAAAAAACAGGATGGAGATGGGTCAAAAAAGAAGTATAGCTTTATAAGGAAAGATAAGAAACAGAATGTCGGAGAGAAAACTAGATGGAGATGAGGGGAGAGGAAGAAGTAACTGAACAATGAAAGAAAGAAAAAAAAGAAAAGCCATGTTTATCTATTTCAGAAAGGGTTAACATTCACTCAACCTCAGCAACTTTAAAATGTGTGGAATTCAACTCCCAAAATTCCCCAGCCAGCATGCTGGGAATTCTGGGAGTTTCAGTCCACACATTTTAAAGTTGTTGATGTAGTTGAGGTTGAGAAACACTGCACTAGATAAACAGACCCTCCCAAGAGTTGCCTAGTTTTCAGAGAGATCCTTATTTTTCAGCAGTGGTATCTGTATCCATTTGCCCATTAGTTTGTTTTCATGGAATTGTCTATTTTTCTTAGGAAATGTAGGCTCTCTCCCCATTTCATAGGTAACAAAAAAAAAAAAAACTAAATAATGATACTAAAATGTATTAATTCTGAAACTTTTTCAATTGAAGAAAATAACTTGGAAATATAGTATTATTGGAATTTAATAATGAAAAATTCATTTCTACAAAAGAGTAGACATCCTTTTTCCTAAGAATCCTGCATGTGTGTGTATGTGTAGGGACAGGATATAAGTTTACCCAGTATAAATAATAACTTCTGTTCCAGAAGAATCCAAATATTTTTGTTTCAGTTTTTCTTCAGAATAATTATGCATAAAACATGAAAATAATATTGCTAGGAAGAGGGTAGCGTATTTCCCAGTACAGTAATTGAATGACCTCCAATTTATTGTTACCCTAGAGACTGATCCAGTTCTAGTTTATGCTATACTTATAATGCTTATGAAGATATGTTCAGATGCCTGTAGAGCTGATTACCAATTTATATAACCACTGCTAAATATTGAAAGTCCAATCTGCCTTAAGGTTTAAAATGTAGGGTTTGTAGGTTGAAAAGTAGTCAGGAGAAATCATAGGGGTGGTACAGATAGTCTATGATTTATGAAGGTTCCTCATCTGGCCAGTCAGCTTCTCCCTTTCCTCAGCTTTTTCCTTTGGCTAGACCAGGGAGCTAGCTGTACCTTTCAAAAAGAATCAACATTTAAAAAACAGTTTTGCTTACTGATTGGTCTCCTGAATTTAATTTTTTTAAATATATATGTATTTCAGAACCTGACAGAGCTTCAGCCTGTTTAAGCTTTTGACTTAACCTAGTTCCAAATTTCAGAAGCAGCTTATTATGAGGCACTGGGATTGGGCTAAAACTACCTTGATTTTTTTATTGTGAAAGACCTAGTCAGTGACTCTGTGTGGTTGTTTCATATATGTACCTCAGTTTTATACATTTCTCATAATAAATTCTCACTACCTTAAACAAAAATGAAGTGCTTAGAAGTGTTGCAATTCTGCCATTTGCCTATATTGACATGCTAGACAATTAAATTTATCTGCCAGAGCAGTAATAGTTTATTAACGTATCTTTCCAATTACATTTTTGACAGCTGCGTAGTGAAGAGTCGAACAAGTTAATTGAAGCCGACATGAATGGGAAAGTTCAAAGTGGACTTTTCAAAAAGTAAGATTCTCTGTCCAAAATGTTTTAGTGTTGATTGTGGGATTTGATGTTAAATTAATGGGGTGGAGTAGTGAGAGCCAGTGGCTGAAGCATAGAGCTGGAATCCAGGAAACCTGATTCAGTTCCCCGTTCAACTGTGGATCTCACTAGGTGTTTTTGGCCAATCATTATTTCTCAGCTCAACCTACCAAACCAAGTAGTTCTTAAGAGGAATAAAGCGAAAGGAGATCCCCACATGTGATCCCTTCTGCTCCTTGAGGAATAGTAGAATATAAATGTAATAAATTCATATAACCTAATTTGAGCTTCTAAAATTCAAGTACTTAAACAGGATTTTTCATTTGAGGCTACAGCAAAGCTTAATTTTTAATGCTGTTTTATTGAAAGTATTCTGTCTCCAGGGCTGGAACTACTTATAATCTATCCTACTGAATTCCAGTACTCTGCTGATGTGATTCCAAAGAAACTGGCCAATTTTTTTTTAAAAAGCTATTTTTTTCTCTCTCAAGTAACTTTCTCTTCCTTTCCCATTATATTCATAAAGCTGTATACTTGTGATACTAAATCAGACGCCATGAATTTTAATTTAAAAGAAAGTAGTCAATCACTTTACTTTTCTGCAGAAATTATTTAGTTTGTAGCAACCTTACATTCTCAATTTCTTAACCATACTGTTTAGTTAGTTTGCTCTTCTGTTGTTCTAAATACTTTTCTCTGTTTTTACCTCAGCAAAGAGAAGATTATTTATGAAGCAGAATCTCTGAAATCCTTAGAGAGGGAAGAGGAGAGCAAAGAATCCAGTAGTTCCAGCTCTGAGGAAGAGGAAGAAGCTGAGGAAGATGAAGTTTCAGAGTCAGATACTGAAAAGGAGGCAGGTAATATATTTAAAACAGATACTCTTTTCTTTCTTCTCTTTCTTTAATGAGCAAAGGAATTATATGAAGCTGCACTGTTCTTCAAGTAATTTTCAGAACCGTTATGTAGGCCTACAGTTTTAGACAGTCAGTACAAATACAGAGTGCCACTAGTTAAGTGTGGTAACATTATCTTGCAATGTGAAGTCCCTGTTTTTAGGATTCCAGACAGTTTAGTTCATCCCATCTTCCAGTTTTCTCTCTCTGCTTTTCTGTGCCCTTTAATTCAATGTTCCATTGCCATTGAGCAAATTTTGTTTGGTTCCCCTTGAAAGTTTTTTCTTAAGACAGCAACCCTGGTCACATTTAACCAGTTAGTCAGTAATCTAGTTTACTCTGTTTACTAGCAGTTCTGCCAAAGCACAATCACACTAACTGATCAAGAATCACCATTTGTGAAATACAAAGTAATAAAAAGATTCAAAGGGTTTCAAAATACTTTGTGAAACTTCATTAGAGTTCCCAGTTTGAAACAGAAAAGCTGTTCCAAGTATGAAACAGGCTGCTTTGTGCAGTTTGGAAATGGTTTGAGTTTGCTTAAAGCAGTTTTAAATGCATGAAACAGCAGTTTCACATGAACTGGAAAGTTTCATGGAGTTCACATTTGAAATGATTTTGTATACCCTACAAAGTCCCCACCCACTTTCTTCAGGAAGTACCTGACATCCCATGAGTCATTGATCAGGAGAGTATTGATGACAGTGTTTCATTACATCCCTAGCCCCTTCCCCTTTGGCTAGGCAGACAGCAGGAGGCATGCTTGGGTGCTGTATGAAGGGGAGAGGGGGGAACTATGGGTGTGGTGGGACTGTGGGTTTCCCACTATAGCCTGCTTCCTCTCCTCTGTGTGAGAGCCAGAGGAAGAATTGGTGGGGCTAGGGGTGAGTGGAGAAGGAGCCCTTAACCAGCCAGTGAGAGCTGCAGAGGAGGGGCCCCTGTGGGTGGGATTGTTGTGAGTGTGTTTGTGTGGATGGTGTGGGGAGGTGGTTGCTGGGTACCCTGATGGTGCTGAGAGCTAGTGAAGCTAAAGTGCTTCAGGGTGCCTGGCTTCCCCTCCTTTGGATGAATGGAATGGAAGACAGGAGTGACTCTGGGTAGCATACAGCAAAAACTATAAAAACAATAAACATGTCAAAAGCAGTTAAATTAAAAAGTTTTAAAAAGCATAAAACACACAAGTGGGGCTAGGGGTGAGTGGAGAAGGAGCCCTTAATCAGCCAGTGAGAACTGCAGGGGAGGGGCCCCTGTGGGTGGGATTGTTGTGAGTGTTTGTGTGTGATAGTGATGATCAGCAAGGGATCCACCTCAATATTTCACTGGTCCCCTGAGATCCTCAGGTCAGATGACATAGCCAGATCTTGAGGGACTTCTGGAAAATAAGTAGGTATGGAGATCACCTCACTTCAGAGGGGAGAATGTTCCATAAGGCAGGTGCCATGGCAGAGAAGGCCCACCTCCTCAGGCCTGCCAAGTGTAGTTCCCTGACTGACGGGACCCATAGCATGTCTCTTTTGCCAGTTCTGATGGGACGAGCAGAAGTAATTGGGGAGAGGCAGTCCCTCAAGTAACGTGGCCCCATTCCATGAAGGGCTTTAAAGGTTAAAACCAACACCTTGAATTGGACCCAGAAGCAGACTGGCAACCAATGCAGCTCATGGAGCAGAGGTGTAACATGAGCTGTACTAGAAGCACAGATAACTGCCCATGCCACTGCATTTTGCACAAGCTGCAGCTTCTGGATACTCTTCAAGGGCAGCCCCATAATACATGCCAGGTTGGCCTTCTCATTGACAGTTAGATTGTGGATGAGGGAGGTCTTATTACAGACTGACCTTGCATTTAAAAGCAGCAGCCAGAAACCAGGGCCTCTGAAGATCTGCTGAATGAGTGCAGGGGCTGAGACTAGGGAGCTGGGATGCGAAACCAGTATAAGAAAATGGCCCTGGGTTCCCCAAGAACAGTCCACTCCCTGTCTCCCACCATATCTCCCCATGCCTGTTATCACCATAATACTTTGGCCTACCTCCAGGCCCCCCAGTCCCTGAGGCCGGGAACCTCCCGCTGTCTTCCATTCCATTCATCCAAGGGAGTAGAAGCCAGGCACCCTGAGTCATATCTCTTCAATATTCACCATCTGGCCTAGGAGTAGAGGACTTCACACAGAGGCCAGATGGTGAATATTGAAGAGATATGACTTAGAAGTAATTT